CTGGCTGGCATGTGGTGCTGGGGATTGAACCGCGGTCCCTGTGCTTTGCTTAGCTTGTTCTAAGTAGGTGCTTTAGACCACTGAGCCATCTCACCAGCTCCCGGTAGCACACACTTATAATCCCAGTATTCTGGAAGCTGACCCAGGAGGATCACTGCAAATTCAAGACCAGTGTGAGCTACAAAGTAAAAATTTTCTACTACATAGGAAAATCTTATCTCAAAGACAAAAACAAAACAAAACAAAAAACCCCTCAAACTCCAAAAAACAACAAAAAAATCTCTCTATACTACATTCATACATAAGTTGTAACATTACTTTCCTGAATGTCCCTTTTTTTTTTTTTTTAAATGCATTTAGTACAGGATCTACAGGGTCTTACTACACAGATCAGACTCATAGTGATCCTATTTTCAGCCTCCCAAGTGCTGGGATTATAGGCACTCACCACCATGCCCAGTCTCAATCACTCTCTCAGAAATGAAGAGAGTGACTGGGGCAGGGCCAGCACAGCCTGCCAGGAATCGAGCCCCAGTCCCTGCACCTGCCCAAGCAGGCAGCTTTAGTCCATTGAGCTATCTGGCCAGCCCTTTCTGTTTCTACAAAGAAGAACAAGATAACAATGAAGTAACTTGTTAGGTGAAATTATTTTTTAGCCATGGTGGCACAGGGCTATAGTCACACAGCACTTGGGAAAGTGAAGTAGAAGAAGCTTAGCTATAAAACTACTTCAAAGCAACCTCACATCCAGTGCAAATCCTGTCAGGAAAAGAAAGAGAATTTTCTTCATAAGCCCAAGAGAAGGGCTCTCCAGGGCCTGTAATAAATGTGAAACCTTACCTCTATTTAAAAAATAACAACTATAATTCTTTGTTCATTTCTGGTAGTGGAGATTGAAACCAGGGTGCTTGCTAGGCAAGCAGTCTACCACTGAGCTATATCCCCAGCCCTCAAGAATTACTTGAGGAGCCAGGGAGATGGCTCAGTAGAATAAGCACCTCCATGGCAAGCACAAGGGCCTGAGTTCAATCCCCAGTTCTGCAAAAAGAAAAAAAAAAAAAAAATTACTTGAGTAAGTTCATTTGTAGATTCCTTCTTTATGAAAACAATCAAGGGCAGGACTGGCTATGTTAACAAAAAAGAACTATGGAGAAAAACTTCAAGGACATACTTTTCAGATGAGAAACACAATAAAGGTATAGCACTGTTAATCTGCCAGACTACTTCCTACATAACTTGCAAAGCAACTTCTGCTACTACAGAAATATTAATGTATCCACCCCACCATCCAATACCTTGAACATTTTGTCCCAAAACTTTTAGGTAGTTCTGATCCTTTAGCACTTCCTGGTCACCTTCCTCCACATCATATTCCTGCTTCTTTATTATTTTTTGTGGATTGACCAAAAGCTGAGTTCGCTCCTTCTTTAATTTAGTGCCTAGAAAAACATCCAAGGAATTAGGACACAGCAGGTGTGCTTCTCTCCCAAGTATTAAATTTAAGTAAGTAAATGAACTTGTACAACTTATGGTCATTACATAGAAGCTGGGAAAAGTATCTTCTCTTTGATTAACAGTCTTGACCTTCTGGGTGTGGTGACACAGACTTAGAAATCCTAGCACCTGGGGGCAGGTTGAGGCAAAAGGAGCAAGAGTTTGAGACCAGCAGAGACCCAGTCTCAACAGAAGGGAAGTATTGACTATGAGTTTATATATAGTAACTGGATTTAAAAAACCAAAACCTTGAAAATCCTTTTTTTTTTTTTTTTTTTTTTTCAGAACTGGGGATTGAACTCAGGCCCTTGAACTTGACAGGGAAGCACTTATTCCACTGAGCCATCTCCCCAGCACCAAATCTTTCTTTTTGAGGATCAAAATAATCAAAGTAATATTTTAAATTATGATAGACAGCCATTATTTACCAGAACAGAGAATTTTCCTTTGTTTTTGTTCTTGTTTGATTATGAGAATTTTCCTTTAAATAAGGCTATATTTTAAATATATTTTTTTATTTTTAGGAAAGGGTCTACAGGGTGTTCAGGGTCTCACTACTAGATCGGACTTATAGTAATCTGCCTGTTTACAGCCTTCCAAGAGCTGGGATTACAGGCATGAGCCACCTTGCCCAGTCTCAACTGCTTCTCAGCACACCCCAGGGGCAGGGCCGGCACAGCAGGGGGATTAAACCCCTGGCCCCTGCACCTGCTTGCAGGCACTTTAATCCACTGAGCTATTTGGCCCGCCCTATATTTTAAATTTCAATTAAAATTTTTTAAAGAAGTCCACAATGGTGCATGCCTATAATTACAGCACCTTGAGAGGCTGAGACAGGAGGAGAAAAAATCCAAGTCCAGCCTGTGCAACTCACTCAGGGAGACCCTGTTCCAAAAGTTGAAATAGTTAAAACAAAAAGGGATAGGGATTTGGGGTCAGTCCCCAGTCTAGCACTACCAGAAAAAAAATTTTTTTTGAAATAAGTAAATGAAAAATCATTTTAAGTCTTATTAAATGAAATACTTTATATTGTATTTTCACTAGAAAATGTTGATATTTCTAAAAATGAAATGATCCATAAGCATGTCTTCAATGCAATCACTCAGTACCTGCTTCTCTATCAAGAATATGATTAAGAACATCATCATCTCCCACGAACTGAACCTCCTTCATCTTGTCTTCCTTCAGGTCCAGTCTGCTCGTCATGGCCAACCTACACGAAAGCAATAAACCAGCATGACAAAGAATCCACACTAGCTGTCATATAGATTTAACATTTACATAATAAATACATGCACTTGCTTAACATTTTAGTCTTTCACAGTAGGGAGCAGGGCAAGGGGGCATGCGCCAACAGGTGCAGCTACCTGGGAGGCTGAAATGCGAGGATCACTTGAGCCCAGCAGTTCAATACCAGCCTGGGCAACATTGAGAGACCTCATCTCAAAAGAAAAAACAAGTAGGAAAAACATATTATCATTACTGTATCATGATGATTTTGTTAGTAGCTCAATAATTTATCTGAACAATAGGTTAAGAAGAGATGCCTGCAGAGCTAAATGATCGTGTATCAGTATATAACCTCAGGAAGACATTCTGCTTATAAAGACAGCTCTGACCTAACAACTTAACAGCCACCTTAACAGAAACAGCAAAAACACTAGAGCTTAGAAAAGGGATGGTCAACTCAGAAGTTTAGTGGTTGGGGCTGGTGAGATGGCTCAGTGGTCTAAAGCACCTACTTGGAACAAGCTTAGTAAACCACAGGGACCACGGTTCAATCCCCCAGCACCACATGCCAGCCAGCCCCGCCCCCTGGTGGGCTGAGCTGGCCACACACACACACACACACACACACACACTAAATAAATAAATGTAAAAAAAAAATTAAAAAAAAAAAAGAAGTTTAGTGGTTTATATATGTGTTCACTGGAAATACTCAGTTCTCAAAAGTCTGTGACCGCACTGCGGACCAAGCTGGATCAGTAACCCTTGCACTGGGATTCCAGCTCTAGCAAGACAACATTTAACATTTTCCTCTTTTAAGTGTGTGTGTGGGGGGGGTGCGTGTGCATGCACACACGTGTGCCAGGGATTGAACCCAGGGCTTTGTGCATGCATGGTAAGGGATCTACCACTAAGCCCCATCCCCAGCCCACTCTTAGAAATTGTGGTTTTGCCTTTTCTTTTTTTTTTTTTTATTTAATTTTTTTTAATGTTTATTTATTTATTTATTTGTGTGTGTGGCCAGCTCAGCCCACCAGGGGGCGGGGCTGGCTGGCATGTGGTGCTGGGGAATTGAACCGCGGTCCCTGTGTTTTGCTTAGCTTAGCTTGTTCTAAGTAGGCGCTTTAGACCACTGAGCCATCTCACCAGCCCCTTGCCTTTTCTTTTGACAAAAAGAATTACTGACTAACTCATGAGTAGTTATTTGTAAGCAGTTAATTTATGTCACCAAGTCTTTCTGGCAAACAGAGATGACTTGTTTTGGTTTCATTTACCTTTTAAGGTACTACACATTCTGCAGCTGGAAAATTTAGAGTTACCTGTAACTGGAAAAAGAACTCAGTCAGTGTTATATATAGCAAAAGAAAGCAACAGGTCCTTGTGTTTAAAAAAAAAAAAAAAAAGATAAATAAAGGTCCTAACTAAGTTACTCTGATGGCAGATATAGGACAAAACTCTCTTTACCTTTTGGCCAAAGAACTTGCTGCCAGCATGAGGTATCTGGGCGGCGTAGGAAGGGAAAGGACACAACTAAAGCACTTTCTATTATTTTAATACTATGAAAAGTACTATATTCTCATTTACTCCTTATACAACCCAATGAGGCAATACTTTCTACATATGAATAAAAAATATTTCATCCATAATTGATATAAACCCCATAGTACAATGTTGTCCTAGGGCCATTTTTCTAGTCCTTATACTGCTTTCTGTTGGGGAAGCTGGGCATATCAGAAAAAATATTTAGCACATTTACATATTTGTTTCTTTTGTACAGGAATCGAATTCAAGACCTTGCACTTGCCAGGCAGGCACTGCACTCCTGAACTCAGCCCCATGATATTTGTATAAAATAAACAATTTCTTCATATTTTTATAAAAGTTTTTTTCAGGAGATGCATGTCACACACCATATGAGGCACTTCTATGTACACTAGTTCATTAAGCCCTTGAAGAGTCTATCAGGTGAGCACTTTGTGTATGTGTGTGCGTTATTTCTCCAATTTACAGATAAGTGAGGTTAAAGACTAAATATTCATCCAAATTCACAACATTAGAAAGTGTGTTAAGAGTTGAAACCTAACCCTAACTGATTCCTAAGTTCCTGATCGTTCTATCACACCATATACCTCTCCAGCCTCCGAACAAAAATTGGTCATCCCAACTGCTTGTTCTGACCTCTGGAAACTATTCACAGTATACATGCCTACACTACTCCAAGTGCCCATATCACCAGGTTAAATGTCACTAATTCTATCTAGAACACCTCAAAGAACATGGCTAGATGCAGTATACTCTACATTACAGTATTTGTACTTAATTATATACTGCTGTGTTCTACGAAGGATTTTTAATCAGTGACAATGTGCAACTGCAATGAAACAAATGTGCAAAGTTCAAATACTGAAAAGGAGTCTGGATGGCAGAAGATATAAAGAGATCATAACCTTATGAACAAAACTTTTGGCTCTGAGCTCCGTAGCAAGTCAAGAAAAAGAACACAAAGGCATGTTACAAAATTCTCATTAGCAAAGAGTTCAGCAGTGGGGGGGGGGGGTTTCAAGGAAACTTTGTAAAAAAATATTCTAGGCAAGTGAATATTGTTCCCGCTGGCTGGCGGTTTAAATAAGAATCGCCTGGACAGAAACAGCTTAACTCACTCAAGGCTAGTTTGTTGCCAGGTCCAAAAAAACAAAATAAAATCATCACAACTCAAGAAATTTATACCAAGACCTCAAAGAAAACTTCAATCATTTCCAACAGTTCCTAAAAAAACACTACCTGCCCATCACACAGTAGGATGAAAATATGCACAGCGACCCTTCTGTCCTTCGAGGCATTACCTTGATGTGTTTACAGCTCAGATCCTCTCAGGGAATTAAAAGGACACTGCACCAAGCGCTAACAGCAACACATTTTCCTCTGAGAAACAAAGGATCTGATGCAATTTTTAAACATGTAATTCTTTTTTAAGGTGGCAGGTTAGTGACTAAGCAGCAGAACCAAATAACCTAAGTTTAATTTCAACTCCACACTTTATAGCTGGATGACTTTGTCCAAAGTCACGAGACCATGCGTCCGACCTGACACCCTGAAAGTGCTCGCTATTGTCGGTATTTTCACTCCGAAATTCTACGGGACCATGCAGGCCTCTTGTGGACCTCTGTGGCTCAGGCCCCACACAGCAGAAAGAGCCCGATGGAAGAGGAATGGCGAGCAGTCATCCGTGCAGGGCACCAAGGGGGTCGCGCTATTTCTTTTCACATTGCAAATTACCTGGGGGAGGTGTCACGGGTCACTGAGGGTCCCAACTGAAAAATGAAAAAGTCCACACGCTTTTACTGAGCCCGGCCAACGCGCGCGTCCGCAGCACCGCGCAGGGGGCGCCCGGCGGCGGGGCACGGAGGTGCTGCTTCGGGAGGCAGGGTCGCCGCGTGCCGCCGCCTCCCACACGGCCCGGCTCGTCGCCCCCACCCTGCCCGGACGGACCCCGCCGCCCGAGACGCTGAGGAGCGCTCACCTCACGCGCAGGCGGGTAGCCGCTAAGTCTCTGAGGGGCGCGGCCTCGGCCGTCTCACGACAGACGCACGCTGCCTGCTGGATGCGGCTCTGAGGAAGGCGGCCCTGCCGCGGCCGCAGCCGGACAGCCCGAGGCCGCACGCAACCGCGCGAGCCGCAGGGAACGAGCCCACCGATCCTCTGCTAGAGGGAAACCTACGATGGGCACACCAAATCTCCCGCCCTGACAGGGGGCGGTGCTCAAAATAGCCAATAGAGAGTGGAGTTGGCGAGAGCGATAGCTCTACCAACCAATCAGCGCCTCTCAGAGGGTCTGTCCTTCCGGAAACTTGAGGAAAATGAATCCCTGAATGCTGGGTTCCGGCCTTCCTCTCTCTCTTTTTTTTTGTTTCCGGAAGAGAAAGAATCGCAGGCCGGCCGTGAGGAGCTCGCGGGGCGTCGCCGCTGACCCAGGGTTTTTCCGCGGGGCACACGTGCTTCTCTAGCTGCCTTCTTTAGAGGAGAAAGGTAACTGGAATAAGCTCGCTTTAAGCCCCCCGTCATTAGCGTAAAGGAGCGCGCCAGGCACCTGCAGGTGTGGGGAGGAGGCCCGGCGGCCCGAGCCTCCTGCAGTCCGCAGCGGGACGCCGGCGGGCTGGAGCCTGCGACGAGGACGGAGGCGGCGGGAGGCCTAGCACCGGCTCGCCCTCAGAGGAGGAGGGGCGCTCAGCGCAGGGCCGCGGGCCTCGGCGGAGGGCTGCACGCCGGCGCCGCCCGGAGACTGCGGAGGAGGAGGCGGCGGCGCGGACGCGGCGGAGTCAGGGCGGGCGCGGCGACCTGGACGCTGCAGCCCGCCGCGACGCGAGGGCAGGGAGCGCGGCAAGAGCCCGCGCGGGGCAGCACCCACGTGGCCGGTGTTGTGCGTCCTGCTTGTACCGCGCGTCTTGCGCATGACAGTGCCGTAGCTTTTTCTGATTGCACAGTTTTAAGTTCTGTCTTGCAATACTCCTTGTAAGAGTTACGGAAATAAAAGCCAAGCCATCAAGTTGAGTGTCTTTGAGCGTTTCGGAGTGTTGGAACGTGCGTGCTATGTACCGTTCGTTATTTAGTGACCGTTTCCTTTATGGGCCAAGTCAGGGTATCCAGCCATGCCTTGGTCGTTAAGGAAGAAATGTCTGTAGAGAACAGAAGGCACTTGAAGAGTGTTGAAAAACTTGAAAACTTAGGAGTATTGAATAGGTATGTTTAGCTAATTTTTTTTTTTTTTTGCGGAACCGGGGATTGAACTCAGGCCCTTGCCCTTGGCAGGGAAGCGCTTATTCCACTGAGCCATCTCCTGGCCCCTTATATATTTCTTGATTTTCTGTGATGCAATTGAACCCTACTACTAGGGCCGACCAGATAGCTCAGCGGACTAAAGCGCCTGCGCAGGCAGAGCACAGGGACAGGGTTCAATCCCTGGTGTGCGGTGCTGGCCCCACCCCCAGGGCGGGCTGAGACAGTGAATGAGACTGGGCGTGTTGGCATGCACCAGTAATCCTAGTGCTTGGGCTGCTGGAAACAGGAGAATCCCTATGAATCTGATCTACATAGTAAGATGCTCCGAGGCTTATGACCTGGCAGAGGGGAGTGGTGGAGAAAGAGCTGTTCATGGCGGGAGCAGAGTGGAGAAGCTGGGCAGCGATGAGCCAGCCCTGACAGGCCCCCAGTGACCCCTCTTCCGACAGATCTCTGTCCTAACCCTAAGTGGGCCATAAGCCCCCGTGATGTATGTACTTTTCAGAAGTACCACCTGTGAGCACATGGGTCCACCCTTGGTGCCTGAGACTCTAGCACATCCTTTTACACAAATAGATTTAGTCTGTCTCCAGGAGTTGCGTAGTTGTGCTGGAGGCTATTATGGAGAGCTTTGCTTTATAGGTACACGTGAGAAAGACGCGGGGAGCTTTCAAAACAACCAAGGTCAGGCCCTGTTGGAAGACATCATGAATGGGGGTTGACCGTCAGGATTCTTCTCAATTCTCAGATTTTTTGTTTGTTTTAAGACTGAGTCTCGGGGGCTGGTGAGATGGCTCAGTGGTCTAAAGCACCTACTTAGAACAAGCTTAGCAAAGCACAAGGACCACGGTTCAATCCCCCAGCACCACATGCCAGCCAGCCCCCCCACCCCAGTGGGCTGAGCTGGACACACACGCACACACACACACACACACAATAAATGTAAAAAAAAAAAAAGACTGAGTCTCACTATGTACTTAACAGCTGGCCTAGAATTTACAACAATCCTCCTGCCTCAGCTCTCTGAGTACTAGGATTTTAGGTGTGTTCTACGAGGCCTGGCCCTAGAAAGTTTTAATGTACAGATAAGGCTGAAAACCAGTAAGTTAGGGAAAATGAAAGGTTTAAAAAAAAAAAAGAAAGAAAGAAAGAAAGAGGGGCCAGGGAAATGGCTCAGTGGAATAAGCACTTGCCTGGCAAGCGCAAGGGCCTGAGTTCAATCCCCGGTAGCCCCGTGCAGAGGCCTTGGGTTCAGTTTCCTGCCTGGCATATGCACAGTAGTGAACATCTGCAAGACCTCGGATGATCTGGATGACGTTATGTGCACAACTTGATGAGTGCAGTGGGCCTAGAGCAGTGATGGTGGGTCTCTCAGACCTGTACCCAGACTGCAGTCCAACACCCACTTCACAAGTGCCAGTACTGTAAACCTGCAGGAGGCCAAGGGTTTAGCTCAGTGGATCAGTGCTGCCCGCCAAACATGAGGTCCTGAGTTGAATTCGTAGTATCCCCTTCCCCAATAAAACCTGAATACTGCAGTTTTTGTCTGGGAAAAACTCGTACATTAAAAGAAAAACAGTAACACCTTACAATGATACAAGCTGTCCTCGGCACACAGCACACGCACCATAGATCCTCACAACCACTATTGTAGGATATCTGGCATATCCCTCAGCAAATAATTTCTACCTAGCTTTTTTTGGTTTTGTTTGGACCACTGAGGATTGAACTAGGGCTTTTGCATGCTAGATGAGCACTCCACCTGTTTCAGTCTGCTCCACCCAGGCCAGTGACACTGCAGTGAGTAAGCTGCTTCTGGGCACCAGCACCTTTCTCTGCTTTCCCATTCCTTCCTTGCAGCTGCTGTTCCAAAGCCTCGCGTCAGCATGCTCTCAGTCCACAGAGGAGGCTGAGAGGTCCCAGGCAAGTTTCTCTTTACCTTTTGCCATTTTCATTTATTTTGAGACAGGAGCTCCCTAAACTGCCCAGGCTGATCTCACACTTATGATGCTCCTGCCTCAGCTGCCCAAGGAGCTGAGATTACAGGTGTGTGCCCCTCATCCTCCTTTCTAATTAGATTTTTTTTAAAAGACTTGATTTGATTTTACTCATACTCCAGGAAGAAAAACTGATTACTTCTGAGCATCCTGGAATAAAAAAGAATATGACTGCTAGAATCTACGCTTTTTTTGTGCCAAAAAGAGTGAGTCGGTATTTCTTCAACATAGCAAGTGCATGGGGCTGAGGAGATGGCTCAGTAGAATAAATGCTTCCCTGACAAGAGCAAGGGCCTGAGTTCAATCCCCGGTTCCGGAAAAAAAAAAAAAAAAAAAAACAGCATGTGCAGGAATACCTCATTAGTGAGAGATCTGGCAAAGTAAGCCCTACAAATATACACAGAGCACATGAGCACAGTGTACTGAAAGCTCTTCCGGACCTTGTCAAGGTCTGGGAAGTTTACATTTGTAATCTCAGGGAAAAGTTATTGCAATTCCAATAAATTAATTCTTACCTACTACCTGCAGTACAATGCATGGTGAGAATAAGGACACTAAAGCATATTTGTAGTTGCAGGAAGCCAAGAAGGTCCTAAGTCCAGCTAGAGCGGTGGCTAACTGGAACAAAGGCCTCGACCTAGGGCCAAGCCTGGGTTGTAGAGGTGAGTGGCTCGGGGATGAGAGAGAGAGAGCGGAGCTGGTGAGTGCTGTGAGCTGGGCTGGGTCGAGGCCTGACTCCTCTGCATAGCTGTGCCACAGGGTGGGGAGGTATCTAGAGCTTCGCAGTGTGCTCCAGTGCTGATGTGTGTCTGTCACGCCCGGAGAGATCAGAGCCTCCTTTGTGGAGGCTCATGCTCAGCTGACACCACTTCCTAGTTCACATGTACTACTTAGGCTCTACAGGCAGGGCATCACTGACCTGTTGAATTGCTTTAAAGACTACAGAGCTGGGGAGACAGCTCAGTGGCACAGTACCTGCCCGGCAAAAATACGATCTTGAAGGGCTGATGAGAGCTCAGCGGACTACACGCCTGCTTAGGCAAGCGCAGGGATCAGGGTTCAATGCCTGGCACCACATGCCTTGCTGGCCCGCTCCCAGGCATGTTGAGCCAGCCACCAAGACCAGTGTCCCAGCAGTGGGGAGGCTGAAAGCAGGAGGATCACTACTAGTCAGAGATGTGTAGTGAGACCCTGTACCAAGTACATTTAAAAAAAAAAAAAACAATCTTGACTTTGATTCCCAGTATCCCCCCCTAAAAAAAATACTTCTTAGGTTGGGCATGGGGGTGCATGCCTGTAATCCCAGCACTTGGGAGGCTGAAGCAGGAGATTGCTGCAAGTTGGAGATCAGCATGGGTTACAAAAGTGAGCGCAAGACCAGCCTGAGCTGCATGGCGGGACCCTGTCTGAAAAAGACATAAATAAATACTGTACATCAGCACCCCAGGTAGATCAGTTTGTGTTGTCTAAAGCCAGTCGAGGGGATAAGATAAAATTTAGTGAGCTCCACACATATCAATACATGAAAATAAGGCCAGGTTTAGCCAAACTGGAGACAATTGCTCTGTCAAGCAGAATCTACCTGATGGTGCTCCACAACAGCATAGGAAGAGTAATTAAAAGAATGGGTAACTAGCATTAGAAAATAAATCCCCAGACTAGGCTATGTGGCACGCGCCTGTAATCCCAGTGCTAGGGAGGCTGAAAACAGGAGAATCACTACAAGTCCTCTGCTTAGTGAGATCCTGTAGACCTTGGACTAAATACAAAAAAA